TCTTATTTATAAAAAATAAAAAATTTATGAAATAATTATTAATTATATCATATATCTATTATATCCCTCTTCCTATATAAATATCCCTCCTATATGGCGTATAATTCTTAGTTTATGTAAAGAGAAATTAAATATTTATTTTAATCAATTTTTGCATTTTTTAGGCTTTGAAAATAATATCATATAATAATAATAGTTATCATTGCTGACTCATTCAAGATATTATAGACGCATGCATATGTGAGGAGCGTCCGGTCAAAACCAAATATGTCCCTCTGATGAGATTTTCCAGGAGAGCAAAAAAACTGTTTTTAAATTAGGTACCTACATTAAAGTTTTGCAATACAAAGCGTGTTTTTATATCCTCTTGGGCTCCTCAGCACGACTGAATAAGCCATCGTGATTAAAATACTACTAAATACTAATACTACCTAATTAAAATTTGATTTGATTTTTGCGTTTATTAAAGGTTATTGGCAAATACTATTAAGGATTTAAGCCCACCGTGCATAAACAATTTACAAAATTAATTAAATAACTCATACAACTGGATTAATATAAAAAAATCTTTATTGGCAAACAAAATTATTGGTTCTTTTAATTGTTATAGGTACGACTAGGATATATCCTATTTTTATAAATTATTTGCGTAATAGTTGTTTTTAAAGAAGTTATAACAATAGTTTACAAAAAACTTATGTTGATGTTATCGACAAAATAATAAAAATAAAATAAAAAATATTTATAAAAATTATTAATATTGTTATGGTGATTATTTGACCTTGAATAGGTGTACGAAACATTATGCTATGTATGTATGTATGTATATATATATATATGAAATGCCTCCAATTACTCGATATTGTTTAATTTTTTCGTCATAAAATCAGACGACAATGAATGAATGAAGTATTTTAATGTGTGTAACTTTCACCACTTTCTTCAGTCGCCCGTGATAAGACTTAATAAATATTATTGATTAAAACGCATTTCCTACATACCTTTAAAATTTACACTAGACATTTGAAAAATTAAAATTATTTTGATATTTTGTAATTTATTTTGTTTTGTCTATTTTTTGTCAACATTGTACGAGGAAGTATACCTATACAGTAGAAACCACTAATATATGAACGTGACTCATCCGACACATTCGTACGAAGCAATCTATCGAAGGTCACGGTCCAGTGTAGTCCCGTTTGTAAAAAAATTTGAGTGTAATGTTGGTTGCTATACTTATGATATATTTGCTTTTAAAGTTAAATAATTAACATCTAACATAATTAACATCTACACTATAAAAAGTTTTGTAATTTTACAGTACTCATCGGTAAAAAATTACAGTAACAATCCGCAATTTTTACAACAATTTTAGGTATTTTTAAAAGTACTATTGAAAAACTAATAGATTCTTGTGAAAACACAACGAAAATTGGGTTTTTACAAACTTTACTGTAAAATTAATAGGAATACATGTAGTTTCTCAGTAAAACTAGTATTATCACATTAAATACTGTTTAAACACAAGTATTACCTTGTATTTTACAAGTACGCATGTGATTATTTGGAAATGGGCATGCGCAACTGTACCACTGCGATCAAAGACTGCGATGCATGCGTTGCACACTCTGTAAACCAGGCTGCTGTAATCGGTTATTTGTTTGTGTTCGCCATTACCAGTGTGAATAGGTTATTGCATATATTGCATATATTGCATATAACTATAGTTGTACAAGTGATTTGATAAAATAATAAATAACTAAAGGTAAGTATTTACCATGTTTGCATGCAGCATATGTAAAACAAGTCTAAAAACTACAGAAAAATATAATGCACATTTATATTTTCACAGAAATCTAAAAGGTATTGATTTTCGATGTGCCTATAAAGATTGCTGTGTTATTTTAAATAACTATTCTAATTTTAAAAGTCATATATATCGCGAACATAAAAAAACGTATTTAAAAAACATTACAAATTTAGAAACTTTTTACAAGTGTGAGGTTAAAGAATGTGTTTTTGCTACAGAAAAAATTGCATTAATTAAATCACATTGCAAAAAGCATTTAGAAAAGGGGGAGAAAATTCAATGCCCCTTTAGGAAAACTTGTAAAAAAAATTTGTTTTTTAAAAATCCATCCACTTTTTTAAGCCATTTAACAAGAAATCATTCAATTAATGAAATTGAATCACCGATTGAACTTTCGGAAAATTTAGAAAGCTCTTTGGATCAGTCATTACAAGAATTTAATACAAACAATCAACCGCTTTTAAACGAAAGTGATCAAAGTTTAAAGGAAGTTGGTATTAATTTATTAAGTTTATTTTATTTAAATTTGGAATCAAAGTTAAATGTAAGCAAAAACGCTATTCAAAATATAATTAGCCAGATTAATGACATAAATGACCTTAACTGCAAATATTTAATTGAAAAACTTAAACAAAAAAATATTAATATTAATGATGCAGATTTGGAAGATAATCTTTTTTCCTTGACCCATAATAAGGATACTGGATTGTTAAGAAGTAATTTTTTGCGGGTAAAATATTATAAAGAAACATTTTCGTATGTTGAACCAAAAAAAATATATATTAATAATGATCCGAATTGTTCATTTTTTTATTATGTTCCAATTTTAAATACTTTAAAAGTTCTGCTAGAAATAAGTCATGTTTTCAGTGAAATATTTTCCCAAACAGATGAAAAAAATTACGGAACTTATTCAGACATAACTGATGGAGAAATATACAGAAAAAATAAAAATTTTCAACTTTCTTCATTTTTAAAATTAATCTTATATCAAGATTCATTTGAATTATGTAACCCTTTGGGATCTAGTAAGTTGGTATACAAGGTGGTTGGCATTTATATGATTTTGGGCAATTTAAAAACCTGGGAATGGTGTAAAGTGGATAAAATCCAATTAGTGGCTTTATGTTTTGAAAAAGATGTAAAAAAATATGGATTTAATAATATCTTAAAACCAATAATAGAAGATGTTAAATTACTGGAAGAAACAGGAATTGTGATTCATGAAAATATTATTGTGAAGGGATCTATTTTTTGTGTTCTTGGAGATAATTTAGGAAGCCACCAGATTGGCGGCTTTATTGAATCATTTTCAACTAAAAATTATTTTTGTAGATTTTGTTATTGTAACTCAATTCAGAATAATAATGTTACCCTACGAACAACATTTGAACACTCACGGGATATAAGGAATGCAGAATTAAATGGTCCAATATTTAAGGGCGTTAAATCTAATTCTTTGCTAAATACTCTAACCAATTTTCATGTATGCAATCCTGGGTTACCCCCCTGTATTGCCCATGATTTATTTGAGGGTGTTGTTGCCTATGATTTAATGATAATTATTAATAAAATGGTAAGAGATAAGTTAACCACATATAATTTTTTAAATAATCAAATTAAAAAAATACATTTTTTCCATGAAGATAAAATTAACATTCCTCTAATAAAAAAAAGTGAAAAGCTTGGTGGTAATGCAACACAAAATTTACAATTTTTAATAATTTTTCCTTTTCTGTTTTATAACACAGAAACTGTTTTTATTGAAGACTATTGGTTATTGGTATTATTGTTGCGAAAAATATGTAATTTAGTAATGGCATTTAAAATATCAGTTCAACAGGTTGCGATTCTTAAAAATCTTATCACGGAATATCTTGAAATTAGAAAAAGTATTTTTCCCGAAATACCTCTCAAACCAAAACATCATTTTATTTCTCATTACCCCTATTTAATTAAAATGTTTGGTCCCCTTAGGCATTTGTGGACACTTCGTTTTGAATCCAAACATAGATATTTTAAAAACGTTATACGACACTGTCCAAACTTTAAAAATGTTTTACTATCTTTATCTGAAAAGCACCAATTACTTCAAAGTATGCATCTCAAGCAAAGTTTATTATATCATAATAAAGTTAAATCTAATAATATTACAATGTTAAATAATAATAATGTCTCAACTGATTTAAAAAATATTTTAAACGAATATTGTTCCTTTAATGGTTTAATTTATTTAACCAATAGGGCAACACTTCATGAAATATCATATTCAGAAGGAATGTATGTATGCATTAACCAAATAGAATTATATAAGTATACATTATGTAAAATAAAATACATTTTCATTAATTCGACATTCGATGACATCTGCTTTTTCGGACAAGAAGTTAATATTTCATATGATATTGATTTTGGTATATATAAGGAAGTTATTCTTAACAATAACAAAAACGTTTCTGTTAATTTTAATAATTTACTATGTTTTGAGACGGTATTAAACTGTGAAATTAATAATGAAAATTTATTTTATTTTAAATCGGCACCTTTTGAGTGTTTTAAATTTATATAAATGAACATGATGGTTTTTTTAATATATGTATTGTATTTACGTAGGACTTCTGCCAAGATTTTTAGAAAAATAGGCTGTTGCAGCTTATTACAGTAACAAGCTGCAACACCCCATTTCACCATGGTGCTAAGGCACTTTTGGGTTTAATAAACTTATTGCATATTTTTAAAATTTTAAGTTACTTTTTTATTATTTTTTAGAGTCTGTGCTTTGCACCTTTTATTATTTTATATAATCCATAAATGAAAGGTAATAAAAAAGGTTTTTTATAAGGTAACTCTTTATATTTCAGTGTATTGTTTTAAAAATATGCGATACTTTAATTCAAGTGTCATAATTACAATTATTGTTTTATTAAAGATTATTATTTTATATAAAATATAAAAGTTAGTTGGGAAATGAATATTTGTTTTGTTAATTAAATATGTCAATATATTATGTATAAATATACAACTTAGTTTAGTTTAGTTGTTTAGTATGTTTTTAGTGATTCTTTACTACTTATTTTATAATTTTCCAAAAATGTTATAAAATATGCCATTAAAAATTATATGTTTTTTTACTATAGTTTTTTATGTAAATTTATATTAAATTTACTATAATACTGTAATAAAGTATTTTAGATATAAGATTAAAATATGGGCGAATCATTTTTATTTAAAATATGGACGTTGGACCATCTTGGAAAATGTACTATCCTAATAAAAAATGAAGAAAACATTTATGAAGCTCTCATATTAAAGGGTATGTAATAAAAAAATTAAAATAAAAAAATTAATAAATATTATTTTCTTATATTTTAGCTTCACAAAAGTTAAATATAAATGGGGAAAAAATATGTCTTTTAGATGGGACATTAATAGATGAAGATGAAATCCTTAAACTATTATCCAAAGAAACAATGATTCTGCTCCAAGCTGGACAAATATGGAAGGAATGTGATCAAACCGGTAGTTCTGGATCTATTTTAACCTTAACAGATTCATCTTCCAGTATTACCTATGACGTGAATAAGGAAAAGTAAGTAAAATTTATCGAAATGTAAGAAATAACTGTCCACTACTTTTAAACTTTTTTATTTTTAGCATCTCTTCCGGGAGCAATGAAAACATTATTTTGGCAATGGATGAAAATTCAAATTTGTATTGGGAAAACTACGAAATTCCATTTTATAAAATCTCGCATTTAAGTGAAATTTTAAAAAAAGGAGAACATACTAATGCAGACGTAAACGAAATGATTAGATTTATTGTAAATGAGATGAGGATTATTTCTTCCAAACCAGAACGCCTTCCTGCTTCTTCATTTAAAATTATTTGTAAAAAGATAATAAATGAATTTCCATCTTTAAAAGATAAGGACGATGATTCTACAATAATTGGTACTGGAGATCATTCAATTTTATATAAGTTATTGGATCGACAAGCATATTTAAATAGGCCACATAAAAGAAAAAATAGTTTTCCAAATACGAAAAAAATTAAAAATTCAAGAGCATGTTGCCCAAACTGGGATCCTGAAACATCACCTTCATCATCATCTTCAAGTAATTTGGAGTCGCATGAAAATTTTGAAGACATGGATCCCACAGCCCAATTTAATGTCTTTGTTGCACAAAGAAAATTTTTAAACAATTTTGCCAAACCTCCTTCCATAAATGAGTTGGTGACAAAATGGCCATTTATGAAGAAGACTAAATATATAATTTGGCATTTTACCCAACTTTTAAAAATCGAACAAAGCTTAGAAGAAATTATTTCGTCAGTACATAAAAAATCAAAAAATATTTCAAAATTCTTTAAAAAATATATGGACATTGAGGATGAAAATTTGAGGTTTGAAGAAAATCTAAAACTTGTTGCAAAACATTTTAAAGAAGATATTAATTGTCTTTTGCAAATGGAGGTTGGTATTTAAATTAATTTAACTTGTAAATACCTATAAAAACTAAAATATTTTAGAATATCTCATCAAGTGAAAAAGATTATGAGTTTCCATGCATTATAGCTATTGGTAAGTATTGTTAAAAAAAATTCTTTTTTTAAGAATTTCTTTATTTACAATAATTGTTTATTTTAGGTGAAACATCCAACAGACCTTTTAAAATTAAAATACAAAAATTTTGTTTTGAGGAAAATTTTACAAATTTCACAAATGCTTTTTTATTAGCTTTCTCCTGTTTTTTTATTTTTAATTTACCATACCCCAAAAAAATTTGCTGTACCTTGGAGTTTGTCCAAAGATTTTTTTTTAAAATGCACCCTGAAGACACCGGATCTAAGTCAAATGCAAAAAGTAAACAAAAAGTCCTTAATTTATTAAACAGAGTTTGTAAAAACGCAAACAATATTTAATGGTTTTTACATGATTAAAACTAAAATTTAATTTTAATATTTTTTGTTAAACTACATTTCCACCACATTAGGTGAAATTTTTTTTCAACATTTTTTAAACACATTTTCAATTAATCCAAAACTTACAAAAAATTGAAAATATTTTTCACCTATTGTAATGAATATTATATATTTATTTTTTTGTTAAATAATTTATATTACGTTTATTTAGTTATTTATTTAGTTCTTATTACCAATAATAATATATATTTTCTATTTTTGTTATTTTTAATTTATTAAAACAAAAATATTTTTTAAAATTGTATTTTATTTTTTACTTTAACCCAATTATAAATTTTCATTACAAATATTTATATTTATTTAATTTTATTAATAAATACTAATAATCAAACCTATTTGCGAATAAAAAATTATCCAAAGAAAGAGCAAACATTTTAAATCCGCCACTGCTTAATAATACTAAAAATTAAAAATATATAATTATTATATTATTTATAAAAATGTATAACAAAGGTAAGTACCCATATTATAAAATAAAAGAAAACCCAAGTAAAGAATTGTTGTTTAATTATAATACCATTTTATTTAGATATTTAGTTCCAAATCTTTCTTTAAATAAAATAGTTGAATTTATATAATGCATATTTAATAAATATTTATTATATATAATTATATAATTATATAATTTATATATAAATACTATTTATTTATAATAAAAAAAAATTAACAAAATGTTTAATAGTTGCAATAACACCTGTAATTTATACAATATCAGCTTGTAAAAATAACACAAGTAACCTTGTAAAACTATATATCAAGATGGTTATTTTACAGTTTTAATTGTAATAATAAATACAAGCTTACCTTTAAAGCTACAAGATAAACCAGAATATTTACAAGTTTACTTGTGTTTAAGTAATGCAATACTACTTGTAAAATTTCTAGACACCTTGTATTTCTACATTTGCACGTGTATATTTTACAGTTACGCTACTGGCAACAAAACGCCAAGTACGTTCCTGTAAAAATTTTTTATAGTGTACGATAATTAAATAAAATGTAATTTTCTTAGAAACTAATTAATAAATAAACTTTTCTTTTAACTTTAATGAAATATTCTATCATCTGATTACAGAACGTACACTCGTGGCGACATCTCTGATTTTAATAACAAGTTTTTAGACCGACCCAACCTCACTTTCTTCCAATTAAATTCTTAGTATAGTCTGAAACACGTTTGGAATTGCATATTCCCCTCTCGTGAAACCGTCAAACTTGTTACAGAATATACTATTCTTTTAACTGTAAACGCAAATATTTCAGAATTGGTGACAAAAAACAAAAATGTTTACGTAGGTCAGGTACAAAGTGAAAGATATTTAAATTGTGTGGATATAAAAACAACTTGCGTTAGTTTCACGAAATTTATTAAATATTGACAATTGTTTCGCTACACAGTAGCTTCTTCAGAATGTATTAAACTAATACTAGTACAAAATTTATATGTATAATAAAAATATTTTTGTATTCTAGCCTAGAATTTCTAGGTAAGGATTTTTATACGACATCTACCTGTGTTACATACATGTTACACTGCCACTACAACGTTTAAAACGATTATTAATCCGTAAACACACAGTAGAAACAAGATATGCAAAAACAAAGATCATATGACATATAAAAACAAATGGCTGACGGTAAAGTTGGTTGCCTTACTATGTAATAAAATAAAATAAATTCCTAAAACACGAACTCTACTGACTTCCAATAAAATTAAGTAACAAGCGTCATATGTCCATCTTTGTCCAACACCTAGGCAGTTTTACATCACAGATGGCGCATTTTAGACCGGATGCATAAAAACCTACGTGTGAGTACATTTACCGCTGCATCGAATGTACAAGACAAGTAAAACATTACTGCTAGCATGTCTGAGATATGTTCGGCCCCCGATGAGTCACGTTCATATATTGGTGGTTTCTACTGTACCTACATTTATATAATTATCTCCATTTTAGAGATCTTTATTTTATATACCTACGTATACAAACTGTCTAATTAACATTAATGAGAAAATGTTGCTTTTATTATTACAATTACAAAATAAAAATAAGAAACTAAGTATGTATGGTTATTACAAGGATTACATAAAAATCCAGGAACAAATTCAGTTCAGCAGATAAGTATTAAATTCTTGTAGGTGAAATTAGAAGTTTTAGTTGATAATATTCAATTTTGGTCAAGGCCGTATTCAGGACGAAGCCAGTGAGGCCACTGGTCTCGGGCCCCCATCTCTTTGGGGCCTCACCAGCCGCGTAAGAAATTGCAAAGAAAATGCAAACAAAATTTCGTACAAAATCAGAATATTCGACTTTAAAGTAAACGCAAATGTTTTTAAGCCGAAATATGTGAGTAAAATATTGTTTAGTTATAATGGTGCTTTAAAACAATAGGTAGTGATTTTTTTATCATTGTGAAAAAAAGTCTTTTTGGTTGACATTTAAGTGTCAAAAGTAGGCCAATTTGACAGTGCAAAAAAGTATTTTTTCTACTCCCACCTTTAAAACGCCCATTATAGCTAGCACAAGTCTGTCCTAAGGACGTCCTAAGGAAAGCCTTACAGGATATTGGGATATCCCAAGGATATCCTAGGACGTCCTCAGACCTCCTCAGGACATCCCAACCATGGTCGAGTGGTGCAAAAAAGGCCAGCCTACAGACGTCCCGCAAATGGCCTTTAGGATATCCTAGGGATATCCCTAGGTCCATATAGGTCCAGGAATAGGACATCCTAAGGATGTCCCCTGAAAGTCCCATGGGTATATGTAGGTCCAGGAATGGGATGTCCTGAGGACATCCTCTGACCCAGTAAGCACAAATACGTCCTTAGGCTGTCCTCGGGACGTCAGCTTGGGACATTGCGGAAGTACTCAGGACGTCCCGCAATGTCCGTTTGACGTCCCTAGGAGGTCTACAGACGGCCAAATGATACACTTTCAGATGTCCGTAGGACGTCCTGATTAGGACTATATCGGGATATACTCAAACCAGCTTATTAAGGTACTGTGAGGGCTTTTTGAGACTTTTCTTTGGAAATCCGCATGTTGTCATGATAACTATACAGGGTGTTCGGAATAGTGCCACTAGCACATTTAAAAGAAAATAGATTTTACCCTTAGCGGCTTGGCATCCATATTTGTTTCAGCCACCCAATATTATTGGATCTTGCTTTTGGTGGATTGTAAAGAAAACATTTTCTTAGCTTTACATTTGATCAGACTTAGAAATTACGTTGAACCAAAAATAAATAACCAAGCCGAAAACCTTGTGTTGCGGCCATGATACTTTCTTCTTCTTCTCTCCCCTTCTTCCGCTGACGGATATGACACTCCCCTAACGGATATTAAACTTACGCGCTAAATTCAAATATTTAAACGTTCCTTACTATGACACCAACAGTTGGCAAATTCGGCAACTTTTGGAGCACTTCGAGTAACGATCGGTACAAAACGGTGGCAGTACAGTCGAAGCCAGCCGTATTCAAATTCAAATATGATATTATGCGCAGAAAGCAAAGTTATGCAGGACGATAAATGACAGGTAACAAATGACAGGTGAGAAATGACAGGTATGACAGGTGACAAATGACAGGTATGACAGGTGAGAAATGACAGGTATGACAGGTGACAAATGACAGGTATGATAGGTGACAAATGACAGGTGATGGAAAGTGACAGATATCTGCCGCCTTGTATAATATTACAGGTGACAAATGAAGGTGGCAAATGACAGATAAGACAGGTGGCAGATTATGAAAGGTGACAGATATTTGTCGCCTTGCATCATATGAGTCATATGATATGACAGGTGACAGATATCTGTCACTTTGCATCATTAGACAGGTGACAGATGATGCAAATGCTATACATTTTTTGCCTTTTGGAAAGACGGCATGAAGATATCCAATATATATATATATATATGGTATACTATTTCCATTTTAATTCTATGACGTCCTATGGACGTCCAAGGTACGTCAGAAATGGGATACCCAATATACTATACCCAATTTAATTTCAGGACGTCCCATGGACGTCCAAGGTACGTCAGAAATGGGATATCCTAAACTGGCCCGGACAGACCCAATCAGGATGTCCTTGGGAGGTCGTGTGCTATTTGGGGAATGGCCTTGTTATTTGTTGGGGATACATTTTAAACAATCAAATACCATTTTATTACTTTATAAAATATATTATTTTAATTCTGTATACATATATATAATTTTACACAGCCAATTATATAAAATAAAAAATAAACACCTATTATAAAATTAAAATAAATAATAAATCTGAATAAATACCTATAATAGTTATATTATTTATATATACAGTGTCCAAAGTTATCTGCTCACCATTATAACTCCATTATTGTTGCAGCTACAAAGTCGGTTAAATTAGCAAATTGGTGGCATTTTTTCTTCTGATTAAAATGGTTAAGACAGAATAACAATTAAACACAGTGCTGCCAGATTGGGCGCTTTAGCGCCAATTGGGCGGTTTTAAGAAATAATTTGCGCCTAGTTTTTTATACAAAGCGTAAACCGCAAGTTGGGCGATTTCTGAAAAAAGAAAATTGCTCTTTTAGCAATACCTCGAATTAAAACCGCAAACCGCAATTTGAGCGATTTCTGAAAAAATAAATTGCTCTTTTGGAAATTCTTTGAATTAAACTTTATTTAAAATATATCTTCAGATTGCAGCTGCCTGTATATAATACTTATAGACATTAACAGCGATCACCACAAATCAGAATCATAGATAGCATTAAAGTAAAAGAAATTGAAATTTAAATATGAGTTCTGATTGTACAGCTAACTTTTCCCCTTTCCGTTACTGGGCTGTTGTGCAGCCGGCTTAACAGTAATAATATTAGTAATAAATATAGCCTACTAGCATTCACAATATTAATGAATAGGAACATTTTCTATTCCTTATTATTTTGAATGCTAGTAGGCCATATTTAAATTTATTTATTTTTAATAATATTAAACATTTATTTTTGTATATTTCATAAATAATGTGTGTTAAGTATTTTTAATGCATTTTTCGAATTAACCCTT